CGCCTCTGTCCGTGCTCCGGGTGACGTCATCGCCTCTGCCGCTCGCCGCTCGGGTGACGTCATCGCCTCCCTGTCGCCGCCGTCCGGGGACGTCATCCCCTACCGCCGCTGCTGGTGACGTCATCGTCTCTGCCGCCGCTTCAGCTGACGTCATTGGAGCAGCGCTACACAACTGGTAGACTTCTCAAACATTGGACTTTCATCTCCTTCGTCCGGATGAACTGAAAAACCGAACCTCGACGGTGGCAAGTCAAGTTCCGCCGAGACATTGGTGATGGGGATCTACTTTTGAGCGGGTCAAGCTGGATGTGGACCTGTTATCCCAAATGACCGGCTTCTGATAGTGTCTACACAAGCAAGGTAATATCATCGGTAATAAAAGCATGGTTTATAAGAGAGAAGGCTCATAAACTACGACGGCCAACGCAAGACTATTAGCAATTTATGGAGGCGAACATAATTGAAACTAAGGCAAGCAAGTGAATTCCATCCACCACCCTGCAGCCCATCGACCCTGTTGAAGCCGTTGTACCGTAACTGGCCAAATTCTCCCAATGTACATGTGAGCTTCTTTTTCATCAAGGCCCAGCCATCCCTGTCAGCAAAACCCATCATACTCAATGTCAGTTCGACCGTTTTTTTCCATCCGCGAGAAAGAGGGGTTTCGTGGCCTTCTTCGAAATCACCGCTACTCACCGAGATAAAAAGTAAAGAATACGCAGCTCTCACCAAAACCTGTGAAGCTTTCCTTGCATTTCGGCAAAACACAAAGAAGTATTTCAGCGCCCGAATGTGTGCATGCATTTTCTATTAAACAATATGCTGTCTCAAACCTGGAAAGGATTTCAGACTAATGCAAATGGGAATGATCAGTTCGTCGCTTCTAAAACGCACTGAAGCATTACAGTAATCGAAGTGGAAAAAACATGTCACCACACAAACCGCTCCACTTAAGGCACTGATTTGCGCACGAGTTAGGTGTCCACATCGTACGCACGATCCACACAGGCGCAAGATTCACCATCCACGAATCAGCAATGGTCCACAACGCTTTCCAGCGCATACTTCGCTCGTTCGTGTCAAGTGCGGGAATGCGCCAAAGCTGCGCAGCAGCCTCGTAAGACTGCAGCCGCCTGCAGCTCGTCGGGACCGTGTGAGCACCAACCGACCGTGTGAGCGTCACATCACCGGGACCGTGTGAGCGTCACATCACCGGGACCGTGTGAGCGTCACACACCGGGCGTGTGAGCGTCACATCACCGGGACCGTGTGAGCGTCACATCACCGGGTCCGTGTGAGCGTCACATCACGGGACCGTGTGAGCGTCACATCACCGGGTCCGTGTGAGCGTCACATCACCGGGACCGTGTGAGCGTCACATCACCGGGTCCGTGTGAGCGTCACATCACCGGGACCATGTGAGCGTCACATCACCGGGACCGTGTGAGCGTCACATCACCGGGACCGTGTGAGCGTCACATCACCGGGACCGTGTGAGCGTCACATCACCGGGACCGTGTGAGCGTCACATCACCGGGACCGTGTGAGCGTCACATCACCGGGACCGTGTGAGCGTCACATCACCGGGACCGTGTGAGCGTCACATCACCGGGACCGTGTGAGCATCACATCGCCGGGACCGTGTGAGCCTCAGATAGTGGGCTTTGTGTCCGGCGGCGCGCTGTTCCTCGCTGGCGCTCCGACCGCCACCTCTTTACGCTCCGTCACCTCTTCGGAGCGTCAGCCCCACCTGCCCCGGTGGCAGGCGCTCTCCGCCCCGCGGCCGCCCAGCCAGGGCAGCTAGTCCCGGGAAGAGAGCTGGGCTCGCGCCACGGCCTCTAGGCGACGACGACAGTGCTCCGGTGCCGCCGAATCCACACCAGTAATCTCCTGTGCTCGCCACACGCCTCCCGAGACGACGCCTGTCGACCGCCGCTCTGTCCACGCCCAATTATTGAGAGCTGCTTTTGTCAATAATGACACCATCCAACCACTGCTAGCGCTCACACGAGGGTGTCGCGGGACAGCGATAGCAGAGCTGCAGAGGGCCGCATCAGCGGACATCGCGCCAGGTATGACGGCTCAAACTAGACACTGTGCGCAGCGCCAGCGGAATCAGTCTGACGCCCGCCCGCAGAACGGTTCAGGACGCCACCTCCTCCCGTAAAATGGTCCAGGGCGCCACCTCCGTCCGCAACACGGTCCATGGCGGCACCTCCGCCCGCAGAACGGTCCATGGCGGCACCTCCGCCCACAGAATAGTCCATGGCGCCACCTCCGCCCACAGAACGGTCCATGACGCCACCTCCGCCCGCAGAACGGTCCATGGCGCCACTGTCGGCGCGGGGCGTCGCTAGGAGACCAAAGAGCGCTGCTGGCCGTCCGGCGCCGCTGACTCGCCGTGCGCCACCTCCGCGAAGCCGTTGTACGGCTTGATCTTGGTCAGAGCGAGCGCCTCTGGGCCCTCGTCTCCAGCGCCGCCGTCTGGTCTCCGGCGCGCAGTCCTTCGGCTGGAAGGACAGCGCCACTTGTGAGGGTCCGACAGGTGAGCGCAGCCCGCCGACTGTGCTTGGATAAAGTCTTGTTGGACTGGCATCGTTGACGGTAGACTCAGGGTACAAGAACTAGCAGTACCAAAACTTACCGCCAAAGTTGCTTGAAGGTAGTAAAGAAGGAACGACATGCGTTCTCCCTGCTAGCCACGCACAACTTTCTTGGCTGTCCCTGAGCAAGGACAACGGAGCCTCCAAGGAGTATGGGACGTGTACTTGCACACTACGATGATTCAGCACACAGCCATACCGTCACACGGTCAAGAACGCAGTAAACCACGGCAGGTCAGTGAGAATCTACCCAGGAAGACAGCATCCACGTGGTCGGCATGACCGTTTACCCGGGCTGCGCCTCACCGGAACCAGCCGAACATCCGAAGCGTGCCCTTTCCGAAGTTCTCTCCCTCTTCCATGGTTTCGGGCAGGTGCTGGTGGGCCGTCTCGGGCAGGAAGAAGGACACGAACGCCCCCAACAGGGTCACCGTGCCCATGATAATGAGTGGCACCAAGCGCCCATACGCCGCCTGAGGACCACATTGACACACCTCTTTTACACTGTCACTGCCCGGCAAACGGCCCAGCCTATGCTCGTATTCCGGCGCACGCACATACGCTCATGAGCTCGGCATGTGACGTTTTATAGCGTCAATGCCAACACACGCACACAGATCACGTACGTTTGAGTTCACGTCATCATCGCAGCGAACCAAGGAACAAGCAAATAGCCTCTCCTGCATAAGCTGAATATTGATTTCAATTCTGGCCGTCTGGTCTGAACCAGCTGGACAGAGCGACTAACGCGACTAGTACAGCGGCACGCTGGCTGCTCACCAGCGCCAAGATCTGCGGGAAGCAGAGCAGGCCGAGTCCGGCGAAGAACGAGGCCAGCGCCATCGCCTGTGAGCGGATCACCGTCGGCAGCAGCTCGCCGGCGAACACGTAGATGACGGCGAAGCTGCCGGCGATGCCGAACTTGCCGATCATCGCCAGCGTCACTGTCACCCAGACTGCCTCTGCAACAGGGGGTCAAGCTGTGTGCCACGATCCGCAGACGACACGCAGCTCCGTTCTGAGGGTTCCTCGCCACCGGCACTAGCAGCGATGTGGTTTTCTTTTCAGTTGGAGGGGGCATATTCAAGTTGGGAGGGCGGGGTGAAGCCCCCCCATAACTTGGGCTTCAGACTCCCTGTTCTTTGAAAAGAAAGTGGTGAAATCGGGGAATAAATCTGTTAGTTGACATATTTTGGGCAGGTCGGGTCAATTTTTACTGTCCATTTCCGAACTCATTTCTCGAAACTACGCCCTGAGTAGTCAGTACAACTAGTCATTGCTGGCACTCGGCACTACCGGTCGGTACTGAGTGGACAACTTCGATTCGCAGCGATACAGGTACAGCGAGGCATAACCTCATTTTAGAAGCATCAACGAAACCCTTCGCTGTGTGGTGTTTCGAAGAGTTTAGAGTCCAGCTGTGCACACAACAGCCAACGAAATCCTCCAAACACGGACCTGTGCTTACCGGAATGCTCGAAGACGCTGATTTCTAAGCCACAGGCTGTGTCGAGACACAAACCTTTGGACGACGCGCCGTCCCGAGCCTTCAGCCTTCGGCTAAGAGACCGCCTTACGACGCTAACCTCTGGGCACGAGGATGCAGCTGATGCAGGCCAGGCCACCCAGCAGCATGGTGGCGCAGAGGCTCCATCGGCGACCCCAACGGTCCATCGTGTACAGGATGATGAAGTAGGACGGCACCTCCACCACAGCACCGATGAAGAACGCCAGGTAGTCGGACACGCCCAGGTTGGTCGTGTTGTAGCTCAGCCCGTTGTACACGATGGCGTTGGCTGTCCAGCTGAAGGCGATGATGAGGAACTTCTTGCGGATGTTGGGGTAGCCGAAAATCAGCAGTCGCATGGACACAGGCTCTGGACTCACCGGTGTCATCGCGTTAAGCTCCTGCAGGCATTGTGGACAGGAGGGTCTCGAATGTGAACATCGGCATATACCGGAAACGTGACATTTTGGTCACGGTCCTTGCATCGTTTCGCGAAGGAGGTAGCGAGGGGATCCTCTTCAAGTTGTTTTGCCGCCAATTTTGGAAGACTTTTCGTGATTCACTGACAGAGATTGCGGGCGATCATGCTATAAACGCAGAAGGCCGCAAATGCAGACAGTCAGCTATCAGATGACGTGATCACGTTCCAATCAGCAATCAAAGCCCTGTAACTTTAATACGAGTTCAGTGCCCACGGCCAGTTTCAACATATCGACATAACGCTTTCCAGAAATCGGTAGGGCAGCCCTGCTATGTGCCCCTGCAAGGCCAACCTAACACAGAGAATGAGTCTCAAGACATGTCGTGGTCTCCCCAGAGTCGGCGCATTAGGAGAAGGGACACGTCCTATTACAGTTTCATGCAAATACACGATGTGCAAGAATGTGAAAACGACAGCCTTACGGTTACACTCCTCAGATAGTTCTTCGGTATAGGCTTCTTGTTGACTTTAGCCATTTTCTGCACGATTTTCTCGGCCTCAGCCATCCGGCCCTGTTGTATAAGCCACCGCGGCGATTCAGGAATGATCCACCAATATCTGCCCGACACGGTCATCTGTTTACGGTGATGCGGCGACACTTGAATTTCCCTTTACAACACGCCGGTTCGAACATGATCCACCGGTGTCGCAATAGCCCCGTGA